AAAATTTTGAATTCATAACCATAGATAATATAGAAGTTGGTCATATTTATATTCTAATAACTTTTTTGTTGAATTATTAGTATTTTACATGTGAATGTTTTTTCCTAATAAATTGATATTTTTTATTCAAGTATTACTATTCTTTCCAAATTTATATATAAATATTTTTATATATTTTAATTAAATTATATTATTTTATCTATAGGAATAAAAAAAAAGTGAATGATGTAAGAAGCAGATAGAATAGAAAAGAGAAGAATAAATCAAAACTATTGAAAAATAACTAAAAGTATGAAATTTTTATTAAATAAGAAAATCAAATACAATAATGACAAAAAAATTAAAACATAATCAATATTAAGAACCTATTTGATGATATTACCTTTATACTAATTAAGATAATACCTTTTTCAATTAAAATCTTAAGACTTGATGATATTAGGACCTGGTTTTACTGAATTAAAAAGTAAGGATTGGGTTTAAATAAAGTTTAAATGGTTTAAATATCAGGAAAAAAGCCCAAGTTAAATAGGCAGTTGAGTGAATTATAATACTATAAAAGATTTTAAAATTAAACCTAGTTCTGATACCATTTGTTTTATTTTGATACCACTTGTTTAGTTTGAAATTAATTATTAGAGTTAACAAAATTTAATTATTAACTTATAAAAAAATTTTAAGTTCATAAACATAGATAATATAAAAGTTTATTATATTTATACTTTTTATGTATTTATATTCTAATAACTCTTTTGTTGAATTATTTGCATTTTACAGGTGAATGTTTTATTCGCTAATAAATTGATTTTTTTATTTAAGTATTACCACTCTTTTTAAAGTTATATATAAATATTTTTATATATTTTAATTAAATTATATTATTTTACCTGTGAAAATAAAAAAGAAGTAAATGATACGAAAAGCAAATAGAACAGAAAAAAGAGGGATAAATCGAGAATATTGAAAAATAATTAAAAGTATGAAATTTTCATCAAACAAAAAATCAAGTACAACAATAGCAAATTAAATCATAACAAAAAATTAAAACATAATCAATGTTAAGGACCCATTTGAAATGACTTATAAGCAGCTTTTTAATAATAATAATTTATGAAATATGAGGTAAGTATGTGAAAGAAGTATTATTTCATTTTACGTAAAACGTGTTTATAAGTGCTCATAATCATGATTCTAAACGAGAAATAAACGAATGAAGCAATATATAAATTGTTTACCTGTAAATATGAAATGTAATGACACTTAATGGATGGCATAGATTGCAAAAGTTGTGAAATCTGTAAAAATTTTCCCATCTCTCTAACTGCTACTTGCTTAGCTTTATCTTCTTCAACCTTCATTTTCTGAAAAACCCTCATCCTTCACAAAACTAAAGATCAATAGAATTTTGTAGAGCACAAACAAGCAAAACCAAAATATATGTTTTATTCCTTTAAACCAAACAAGTAATTCCTTAAGATGATTATTTAAAGAGATGTTGTGCATGATTTAAAAATTAATAGAGGATTTGATTGATGATTTTTATAATGAGTATCCGGAGAATTGGCAAGATTAGAGTAAAATACAAAAAAAAGTCATAAAGTTCTTTTTATTGATGGAATGATTTTTATTTAACTCTCTACTAATTAATGCAGTATAAAATAAGTATGTCGTTACTTTTAAAAAGCAATCAATATAAAATAAAAAAAACAATGATCAATACAAAATAGGAAATAAAAATAATAATGAACTAAGTAAAAATCTAATTAGTGTTATATAAGACTATTTTTCATACTTTATTCTCATAAGTTTTTTATATTGTCTAGCTGTATTTTTATTTTACCATTCATGTTCAAAGATATGTACAGGTTTTTAAACATTTATTTGGGTATGAATATGGTTGAATCGCATTTTAAAACTACTATTATTCTTTTTTTTTGACTTGGAAACTGAATAAATTAACTAATACTCACTTAATACAGACACTGTCAAAACGAAAATAAAACTAAGGAACTAAAAAAAAAAAAAAAAGACAAACCGAGACTTTTATCAAACTACATCTCGGTGTAAGTCATAAGATGGAGGTTGAACTCCTATGGTTCTTTACTCAATTCATTTGTGCTGCAATTTAAAAAATTACAGCCCAATCACCAAATCAAAAAATATTTTTGTTTGTAAAATATTTTTAACGGTATGGTTTATTAACAATTTATTACAATCAATATTCATCACGAAATAGTTTAAGGACAACCTTTAACCCAATAAAAATGATGTTTGTTCTTTCTTCCTCCGGTACTAAATATAAGATATAGATAATTAATTTTTAAATTTTTTTAAAAATTAATTAGACAATATGTGGTGATTTTTGTACCATTTTAATTATTTGTATAAAAAAACTAATCATGTGCCAATTAATAAAGAGAGTGTAGGAAAAAAATTATAAATTTAGGGAGCAAAATGAATTAAAATCTCATATATAAGACTAACGCAAAACTTTTTACTAATTTTTATTTCTAAGATGAACACAATTTTATTAATTAGTAAGCACTTCTTACTAATTAATAATTAATGCAGGTCCTTCGTTGTCAGCCAGAGGTTTATTCACAATTGTTGTAAGATTCTCTGTAGTGAGATGGGAAAAATTTATGTCCAATGATTTTTTCATAAATTACTTTGTAATAGAGTTTTTCTTACACTATTAAATTGTTTAGAAGGACATGTCCCCTTTCTGTTTTTATATAAAAGAGCATATATTTAAGAAGATGAATAGAAAAACAGGTGATTCTAGTAATTAAGTAGATAATTTTATCTTCAGTTTTTGTCCCAAAACTTCTCAATTCAACAAAAAGGCTGCAAGCTACTGTTCATATGACATTTGAAAAGGAACCAGATCTTGCTAGTTTGTGTTTTTGTCTTTTTTTTTTAAGTTAAAATTTTATTTATTTTATAAGTTCAAGTTATATGATTGATGTTACTCCTCCGATCCTTAATATAAGACCTATTTAACTAATTTGATTAGATTAAGGAAGTTAGGTAAGTTAGTTACTTATAAAAAAAGTGATACATTTTTCCTAAAACACCATAATCATCTTTCTTAATACTCCTTCTCCCTTTTCTACTTGATTGTGGTTGAGGGAGTATCCATAGGGGTAATTTAGAGAAAATTGATAAATATAAGAAATGAATCTTATATTTAGAACCAAAACCAACTCAAGAATTGGGTCCTATATTAAGGACCGGAGGAATATAATTTATCAAATTCTTCCAACCGTGGACAAATTGCTTCCAATTTCTAACTCAAAATTTCAAACGCAAAAACCTTATCAAAAAGAAAGAAAGAAATAGAAAATGTTCTCACCTTATAAAATTTGTTTTAGGTTTAATAAATTGTGAATTTTTAGTATATATACATATATATATATACACTCATCCGGTCCTTAATATAAAACTCATTTAACTAATTTGATTAGATTAAGGAAATTAGGTAAGTTAGTTAATTATAAGAAATGTGACACGTTTTTCCTAAAATACCATAATCATCTTTCTTAATACCCCTCTTCCTCTTCTATTTGATTATGGTTGATGGAGTATCCATAGGAGTAATTTAGAGAAAATTGAAAAATATGAGAAATGAGTCTTATATTTAGGATCAAAACCAACTTAAAATTAGGTCCTATATTAAGAATCGGAGGATTATTATATAAACATAGGAAAAGAAGAGAAACCAAAGCAAGCGGGGTCTTGGATTGGTTTTTTTTTATAAAAAAAAAACATCAATTTCCCCTTCAGTCCCCATTTAATTATTTATATTAATATCATTGTAATTATTATCAAGGTAAATTGATGTTTTTGGGAAAAAAAAAGTTACATCATTTTTTAATTGTTTACTGTTTCTGACTCATTTTACATAAATTTTTTTTATCAATTTGATTTGGTTAATTGTCTCATGTAGGAAGGAATGAAGGTTTTTATATATATATATATATATATATATATCATAGATTGTAGATTTCCATATCTCATAATTTTCTTTTATTTTATTGCATTTTCTTTAGTTCCACTCAGGTCAAAGGTGACGTATACCCACACTGTAAATAACACGACTGGAAAAGTATCATGCGACGTAACTAATCTCACATATAGTCAAATTACCTGCCTTACATTTCAAATTACCTCCCTTACAATTCCAAATCATAAAACAAACAAATGAACAAAAAAGCCTCCAGCACCGAATTTAAAGATTTTAGTACGTGCATACTAAACACATTTATAATTAAAAGATAGGGTTAATATAATTTTTTATTCTTTAAATTTAAATCTATTTGATTTTGGTTTCTCAATTTTCAAACTCATAATTTTAGCCTGTGAAATTTAGTTTATTTTAAAACATTTGTTTCTGAATGTGTAATGCTATTAAAATCTATAAAAAATATCGTAGACAATATTAAAATGATGATGTGAACTTACTAAATGGTACTTAGTTAGATTTTATATGAATAACAGGATGATAAAAGAGAACATATACTCAAAACATAGCTATTTAGTCTCTCTCCTTTTTTTTTTCTCTTGTTTATTTGAAGAGTTATTTAAAATGAGAGTAAATGATATAAGAGTAATATGGTCATTTTAGTAAATTTTAAAATTCTTATTTATCATATGTAACTAAAATGGATTTTTTTTATTGAGATAACTATTTAGGATTGAAATATTATTTTATTGTTATTTTCTATTTAAATTCAAACATTTTTTTAAAATCCCAAAATTTATAATCTTTAATTGTAAATAATGTTTTTAGGAGATTTTTTAGATGTCATTTCCCAACTTAAGATGTTTGGCTACCAAGAAAATTTTCTATGAATCAAGATAAATTTTTTTAACATATTTATTTTATATGCTGTAAAATTACTTTTAAATCTATGTTTTGATTCCATCTAAAAAATCGACAAAAACTTAGGTGGGATTTTCACAGTACTATGCCTCGTTCGACTGAAGCAATACTCGAGTTTCGGCGTCGTTTTTTTGTGTCTTGGGGGTTGAGTTTCTCCACACAGAGCTCAGGGTGTTTGAGGCCTTGAAGGCAGGCGGAAAAGGGGCGTCTTTGGTGGACATGGCGAAGGAAAAGGACTTCAAGGTCTACAATTCAATGACTCAACAGAAGGAGATATTCAAGCCTCTTGTTCCCGGTAAAGTTTCTATGTACGTCTGTGGAATCACCTCCTACGACTACAGCCATCTGGGTCACGCTCGTGCTGCTGTCAATTTTGATATCCTTTATAGGTATGCACTAACTGGGTTAGGATTGTTTGTACTCGTGTAATTTAATAAAGTGGTGTTCAAAAGGAAATATCTTTTAATTTGTAAATGACTGGGATTAAGTGAACGCGATCAATTGTGGCTGATTTCTGATATGCTTGTTTAATATGTTGCTGTTCAACGAAAAAGGAGGCCTTCTGTTTCGTGTTGGATCAGTTATTTTATTAGCACTTCAGATGCTTCAATGCTAAATGGAAGAATTCAGGGATACGGATGAAGGATAATCGATGTGGCAGATCTGGAACCCATTGACTTTCTTGATGTGTTATTCCACACTATTGGAAGCCAATTGATTGATAAAATTAGTAGACATTTATAACTTCCATTGTTTTTACTTCTTTGGCAAATTTTATAATTGACTTGGATGGATGCCCATTATATGAATTGGCTTTAGCATATATACAAGTCTATTGGTATACCTATTGTCACGACTTGAAGACAAATAGGGAGGTAACGATCAAATGTGAAACTAACTGATATAAGTTTATTTTTGCTGCTCAAAGCCTCAAACCAGAGAGATAGCATTCGGGTATAATGTGTCTTCTGAGTTATGCTATGCAGTCCAATTTACAATTTGTGATTCAAAATTTGGCTTTCCGATTCAGAATTTGAAACTTGTGATCTTGTATATGGAATGCTTAATGTGTGCATTTGATAACAAGTAAGTGTGGCATCGGTTTCCTGCTTTCCTTGGATAACCACGGACTTGCCTTCCCCAGTTGATTGCTGTTTACGGAAATGACTATGTGAAATGAATCTGCAATGCTTAGAGGTTTCTACTTCTGTCTTTTATTGGATGTCGTCACTTCTTAAGAGTTACTTTGTTTCAGATGTTAAGTTAGAGGGTATCTGTAAAAGGGCAAACGTTTATACCTTTTTATTTTTTACTTTTTGGTTTTTTCCGCAGACTTGTTCTGTATTTACTTGCGGTACATGTAAAAATTGAGAGTTAACACACATGAACTTAAAAATTTGCAGATATCTTCAACACTTGGGCTATGAAGTAACATATGTGCGAAATTTCACTGATGTTGATGACAAGGTGAGAATTCATTTGTGTAACTTGATGCTATATTCTTACTCTAATATGTTTTGGCTTTTGTTTAAGAGTCGTCTTTCTGCTTATTTTCTTTAGCTTTTTTACTTCAATAATTTTCTTACTCTTGCGTGTTTCTGTTTTAGTTGATTGTCCTTATTAATGTGTTTTCAGTTGGAGTCAGACTGGTACTGATATAAGATTCTAATATGGAAACATAAGGATAAATGTTAGAAAGTATGATTTGGTAACAATTCAATTGATATTCTCTTGTTAACAAAGCAAAAGCATGTTGGTTTAACAGACCATGTGAGACAGTGGTGTCTCTAAACAATTCAAATACAATATGTGGTATCACGATGTTAATGAGAAGTTCAATTTATTTTCCTATTGCTGCTGACTTTTTTTTTTTCAATATGCCATGATAAATTTTTGCTTGTTTTTATATACTGATTATCTTAATAGATTTTTATAATGCTTTGGTGCAAGGATGTGCCACTTCCTTTGGCTTTCCATTGCTATGAATTTTTCTTTTACTATTTTTATAGTCAAAAATTCCTTTTTACTGGATTCAAATATGTATTTAGGCATTTAGGCCTGAATTCCTGATGATTATGATTCTCATGATGATGCAACTCTATATATTAATAACTCATTGATCAATGGGCTGTATGTAACCCTCCTGCCGTGTGATTCAAAATGCGTGAATTGCATCAAACTTTTTGGTGTAGTTCAAATGAAGTTTTCAAATTGTTTTTGCTCATGCTTTCTCTTCATTTTCTGTTACTATGCTAGTGTTCCAGTTTAGCGAGAACTCTAACTGTTCATTCATGTGTTTTGTCCTGTGAAACATAGGCCTTAAACCTATAATTTCTTACTTGAGTTTCTTAACTCGTTCTCCAATGCTTATTTTAGTCAACTATTATTATAATTGCTGCAGATAATTAAGCGAGCAAATGAAATTGGTGAGGATCCCTTGAAATTAAGCAACCGCTTTTGTGAAGAATACATTGTTGATATGAATGCTCTTCAGTGCCTGATTCCAACACATCAACCTCGAGTTTCTGATCATATGGAGCAGATAAAGGACATGATAAGTCAGGTTTGATGCTGCTATTATCATAAGCTCAGCTTGGATTGGCTGAGCAACACCATTGAATTTTTCTTGTTGATGACCCTCCTTTTGCTTTGATGAAACAGCAATTTATTTAAGATTGCTGTTTAGTATCATTTACCAGTATTGTTTGTGTGTGTGTGTGGTGGGTGTGTTTTACTCAAGTGTATTTATAGTCCTGGACCTTTTCTTTTTGGTCCCATATATGATATTAACATGTTTCTACTATAAGCTTCCCGCACTGGATATGCTATATGATAATTTAATCTTATAGTTTTTCGAGTGAAATTTAATCTTATAGTTTTTCTTTGAAACGAACCAAATTGGCCAAGCATTTATATTTACACTCTCAAGTATTTGGCTATGGGAGGCTCTGGTACCTAGGTGTATCACCTTTCCTTAACATATAAGTTTTAAAACAAAGGAATTGGGTACTTGGTTAAAGACCCATAACTCCTCCATAGTCTGCATTGTTGTCAGAATAGAAATGAAAAATTATAGATAATGCGTTTTAATTTGAAGATGAAAAGCTCTTCATGATTTCATTACTAAGTATAAGAGGTATAGGAAGTAGATCCATCATGTTTAGAATGGTTAAATATCCGTACCCATATTGAGCACGTGGTATGCCTGTTTACATTTTCAACAAACTTCTAGCTCTGGATTCTGGAGGTTTGAATCTACACTTTACTCTCTCTACCAAAAAGAAAGAAAGAATACATAGAGTTGTGTGCACAGCTGTAATGTCCTATGTTGCTATCGTTGAAGTTTAATAAAGTTATATGAACTTTGACATTATATTAGGAAAGTTGAAGTTTTATTTTTGGTTCGTTACATGTTTAATGTTTATCATCTATTCTTTTTGTTGCAAGAATTGTTATATATTATCAAATATTCATGACACATAATGCAGCATATGTTGCAATGCCCATACTTGTGCTACATTGATTTACATTTGAGTTTGAGAATGATGTTATGGGAATAAGCATGAGAAAGTGATGACAAATATTAATTTTATTGGGATTTGTTTTCCTTTAGTTTCAAGGAATTAATATATATTTGAGGAGGTTGATTTTTTCTGCAGATCATCGAGAATGGCTTTGCATATGAAGTTGATGGAGATGTTTTCTTTGCTGTTGAAAATTTTCCAAACTATGGTTGTTTGTCAGGACAAAAACTAGAACATAATAGAGCAGGGGAACGAGTGGCTGTAGACACAAGAAAGCGTCATCCTGCTGACTTTGCACTATGGAAGGTCTGAAGACCTTTACCATGTACACATTGCAGTTAATATCTTAGATATTTCTTATGTTCTAATAAGTAATAATTGCAGTCTTCTAAGCCTGGTGAGCCAAGTTGGGACAGCCCTTGGGGTCCTGGAAGACCTGGGTGGCATATAGAATGTAGTGCAATGGGTTCTCATTATTTAACTTCCAGATTTGATATCCATGGTGGTGGAATCGATTTGATTTTTCCACATCATGAGAATGAGATTGCCCAGAGCTGTGCTGCATGCCAAGAGAGCAAAATCAATTATTGGATGCATAATGGTCATGTCACTAATAACAATGAGAAAATGTCGAAATCCTTGGGCAACTTCTTTACTATTCGCCAGGTAAATAACAGTTAATTATTGTCTTGTTTATATTTTGAGGAGCATCTACGTGTTAGGATATTCTTAAAGATGCCTTGCAATTGTTTTCTCCTCTTTTTGAGCAGATAACTGAGCGGTATCATCCAATTGCTTTGAGACATTTCTTGATTAGTGCTCATTACAAATCCCCTCTAAATTACACAATCTCACAGCTGGAAAGTTCATCAGACACTATTTACTATATATATCAGGTAAGCAGCACTGGATAATCTGTATCAAAATTGTCGCGTCAATGTTTAATTTACTAGTTCTTTGCCAGAGGTTGAGACAGTTTCTTCTCACATCATCTAATCTGGATGTAATTGCTTGTTTCTGGTTGTTATTTTTTCCCCATACATGTTATGTTTGTGAGTGATTTTAATATTTTATGCCCTAGGGTCCCGTGACTGATGCATAAATTGTTTCTTTGAATTAAAATCACTAGTATTTCTTGGATATTTTATTGATATCATTATTTACCTCTACTCTCCCTTTGTCTAGGTCAGATTATTCTGATGGTGTATATGGCAACGATGGTTCTTGCCTGTAACGTAACATGTGATCATTGCTTGTGTAAAATCAGTTAAAAAAGTATAACTTGGATCCTGATGTCACAAAATAGTGTTGTGCTAATTAGGGCTTGGTGTTACACAGGATGGTTCTTTTTACCTTGTTACCTAGTCAAAGATTGATCTTCTGCATGAATAGATTTTCATTTCCAATACAAGTTTGATATCAGATATGATTTACATTTATAGATGTTTAAAACACACACGCGCGCACACAAAAGACAAGACAGGTTGAAGCCATGCGTTTGATGTGATCCCTCTTGGAAATATTTTCCAGAAATATTTTCTCTTTTCACCTGGTAAGGATCTTATTTTTGTGGTTGGTTAGACTCTTCAAGATTGTGAAGCAGCTTTATCATCATTTCAAGAAGGAGGTGTGGAACAGAATAAAAAGGGACCTAAAGTTAGCGATGCGGCCATGAATTGCATTAAAAAAATGCGAGAAGAGTTTGAGGAAAAAATGTCAGATGACTTGCAAACGCCAGTAGTACTTACGGGTGCTTTCCAAGAGGCCTTGAAATTTGTGAACAGTTCTTTGAAGATGCTGAAAGTATGTGTTCAAACTCAGTTTCTTTTTTGCCTGGATTTCATGTTTCTTTTCCTTTAGTCTGTGTCATGTGTCTGTAATTTATGGAATATATTTCAATGTGACATCCAGAAAAAGATCCAGAAGAAGCAGCTTTTGGAATTGTTGGAATCTCTAGCTGCAGTAGAGAAAGAAGTTAAAGAGATCTTAGACGTACTGGGGTTAATGTCCCCTTCTTCCTATGCTGAGGTGATGCATTTATTCTGCACATTTATGCCTGTCTATTTTGTATAAGCATTAACGCAAGAGTTGACCATTCGTTAGGATGGAATTTGAGAAAGACTTGAAATTTGTTCTACAGGTTCTGCAGCAGTTGAAAGACAAGGCATTGAAGAGGGCAGGAATATTGGAAGATGATGTACTGCGTTTGATAGAAGAGAGAACTCAGGCAAGGATTAATAAAGACTTCCCCAAGAGTGATAAGATTAGAGCCGAGTTAACCGTTAAGGGCATCGCCCTCATGGATGTGGGCAATGAGACAGTTTGGAGACCATGCATCCCCAGTGAACAGTAGCGGCTCAAGTTCAGCCGTCAGAAGCCATTGAGTGAGAAAGCTGTGTACCTTACCTATTTATTTGTTTTTTATGAGTATTACAACTGTACACAAGAATTGAAAACTCGGAGGAGTAATTTTTATCCGTACTGATCATTACTGGAAGTTGTAACATACAAGGCTTTGACCCTGTAAACAACTCGAGGCTACTCAGCTCAGGACTAGAGACCTTTTAATTGTAGTCCCTGTTTTTTGAGGCCTTTAGGTTCCTGCTCCTGATAATTCTGTGGCCATGATAGTCAGGGATCTGTTTTTTAACATTTTGATCGATGTCAGTTGATCTGTGATGAGTCCTAGGTTGGTGTATGCCTTGAAAAGCGTTGTGTTGGATGTGTGTCTCTTCTGCATCTTTCAGGAAAGACATGTTTGTTGTAGCAGTGAGATGGAACGAAGATTGATCCTAGTCTTTCCTCTGGTTTTGGAGCACAACTGACTACAACCAATGTCACTCTAATAATTGGCCAAGGAAAAAAAAAAAAAATTGAAGCACACATCCTGTAGATCTGAATTTTTTAGGCTGTGTATCGCTCTAATGCAAATAATTTAATTTCATTTTTCTGGTGATATGCTTAAATGATTTCTAATTTGTCTCCATAATTGTTAACAAATTCTTTGTTTTCGTAATAGTCCAACCAAAATTAGTTTGATTCATTAAACATTTGTCTAGTGGGGTGACTGGCATCTGTGGATGATATAAGTAGGTCATTTGTTTCATTATTACGAGGAGATGAATCTGGGTTCATGTTCTCTCCTTCTCTCATGTCTCTTTTCTTTAACTTGATGATTCATGTAGGGCGGAAAAAAAAGAACAGATTCAAATCCTAATTCTCCCTTTTATTATAAGCAACTAATCTAATAACTCAATACTAGTATAATTTAACGAAGTTAGTTAAAATTAGTTATTTCTTGTCAAATTTAGAAATTCTCTCCAATAACAATTATTAGTTAGGAAGTTTTATCGTAAGTTAGAAATACTATTAAATGGAAAAAATAACAATTTAAACAAAAATGTTGTATTGAGCCTCGGGAGTAGTATATGGAAGATAATTATGATAAGGACCGGAGTAGTAATTAGAGTTAGACTGGATTTTATATAACATTGTATTTAAAACCCCGCTTATTTTTTTAGGCAAAAAAAATTTATGTTCAGGGCCCTGGGCTGAAAATTAATTTAATTTTTTTTAACACTTTTGATTCCCTAAATTTTTCTTGATCCTGGGTCCTGACCCACATCCGCTTCCTTTTTTCATTTAGGTTTTTTAACTATGCTTTGGACTTTGGATTCCCAAGTTATTTTTTCCTTTTTGCTGCTCCCAAGTCCAAACCACTAATGTCTTTTAATTTTTATTTCATCATGCAAAATCTGTTATAAATGACTTCTGTTGCATTATAAAATTATCTTAAAATCTTATTAACAATAAATATCATAAATGAAAAATGTAAAATAACAAAAAAAATATGAACATGTTTATTTAAAAAAATCCCAACGAAAAAGAAAAAGAAATGAAGGTTCTTCGCTGGCGCCACTGATTGCGTTGCATGCTCTGTTATCTTTACCGAGATTAACGGTACTGTTAGCAAATGAACATGTCCAAATACAAGTGCAAGTCTTTTTTTTTTTTTTTTAAACAAAAACCCTTGGATTCAAAATACTGTCTCTTTTCAAAATATAGGTCCTTTTTAAGGAAAATTTTTATTTCATTTTACAAGTCTTCTTAGAAATTCAAAACAAAACATTTTTCTTGTTTTATCCTTATTTACTCCAACAATTTTAACTAAGTTAACACAATGGAGCTTTCAATAAGGGGAAAGTTCGGTAATATAGTTCATGCTTTCAGGTATTCATTATTGCATTTCTTAATTTGTGTGATTTAACCTTAAAAGATCTATATTTTTGGTTACAAAAAAGATCTATATTTTGAAACAGAGAGGGCACTAACCATTCATATCACAAAATGCTTATTTTTGCACAAATATCCTTGCTTACTATCAAATGCTTATTTTGTAAATACCCTCTTTGATCCTTAATACAGAAGTTAGAAACTTAATTTGCAAAAATTTTATAAGAAATTAGTTAAATTAGTTGTTTATAAAATATATTTTTGCTCAAAAAAAAAGTTGTTTATAAAATATATGTGTTGGTTTTCTTAAAATACTATTTTTAATCATTTATATTGGGATTACCTTTAATAAAAACTCTCTTAATATATACAATCAATAAGGATAATTTAGAAAAAAATTATAAATTAAGAAAAAAGTATATTAAAATCTTATATCAATAAGGATAATTTAGAAAAAAAATTATAAATTAAGAAAAAAGTATATTAAAATCTTATATTTAAAATCAAAATAATTTCTTAACTAACTTCTATATTAGCACAAAGTATATAAAATGACTTCAAAGTTACGTGCAGATATGTACAATGGGCATGACTAGACGAGCCAGTTCAATGCTTTAAGGATATAGCTATTTAGATTCCTTTCAATGAACCTCATTGTACTTTTAGCAAACTGATAGTTTGAGAGAGACCCACTGACACATCCTGCACACTGATTCTCCAGAGATTTTTAGACTTTAGAGTCCTTCACAACTCACCAACACCACTCATTTTATGCTCTTTGATAAAGTTGAAGTGCCTGTAAAACCCATGTGCTTCTTCCGATGAAGCACTTGCATGGTCTGTCCTGTTCCAGAAACAAAAACTGGGGAGCCCCACATCTCTTTAATTAAATAGGACCAACCGCGTATCCTGTTCCCCATCCAAGGATACCACCATTTGTTGTTCTCATGATTACTACATTCAATTTTTAATATAAGAATTAGATAATTAATTTAGAAATATTAAATAAATTAGCCAAGTTAGTTATTTATTACAGATATGTGTTGATTTTTCTAAACTATTCTCTTCAATTATATGTATTGGATTATTAAAATTATCTCTTAATAGAAATCCGTTGCAATCAATAGGAATATTTTGAGAAAGATAAAAAACAAAATGCATTAAGATTTTATATTTAATACCAAATTCAACCGTCCCAATTAGCTCTTATTTAAGAACAGGGGATAGTAATAATTAAACAATGTTGCACAGGAGACAAGAATTCTCATGTTCAGTCTCTGAAATGCATAGCCCTAGTTATATATACATACATATATATATATATATATATATATAAAGTCTGATACTAGTAGAAGAGGCTGAATGCAATCAATAATATTAAAAGCTCATCTGTCATTAACAGGTATTCATTCTAGTAGAAGATGCTAAATGTGACTTATGAGTTCATCTACTAATATATATATGCTATGATCCTAATAGAAAAGATGAATGTATATATGCTTATGTACAATAATTAAGGTTCAAATCCTTGCGCATGCAAAGGGAAGAAAAAAATTTTTGAAAGAGATTTTCTTAGATTTGGTCCAACAGATTAAAACATCGGAATGAGTTATAAGTTGAGATACAGAATAATAGGTTTGTGTGATAAATATTGAATATTGAGTGTTACAGTTCAAGCACCAAAAAAGCATCCAAGAATTCATCTTCTGCACAAGTGTGTTGAAGAAACCAAGTGTGCATGAAAAAAATTATAGAACTTCACAAACTTCAAAAGCTCACACTTTAGAAATTATGAATTTAGTTTCACAAGCTTCATGTGCCCTAGGCATTACCAATACGTATATATATATGTGTGTGTGTGTGTGTGTGTGTGTGTGTGTGTGTGTCTGGAGAGAAACTAAAAACATAAAACTATATCAATAGAAAAAACGATTGTTAGGGCTCTGTAACCCAATGACATGTACACTAAATGCCTCCTTTAAGACTATGTTTGGATGGAAGAAAAAGTGAGAGGAAAATGGGGGTAGGAAATATTAGGAAAGAAATTTTCCAACAGAAGTAAAAAACTTTTTTTCTTATACCATTTTTTAGAGTTTTTCCTCCTAGTGTTCTTTCGTCCCTAATTTTTCTCCCATCCAAACATATAGTAAGTCTTTTTTAATCATGGGGTTGTGAGTTCCAACCCCTTGTACAAAATATCATGAGTGGGTGAATTGTGGGGGAAAAGAGAAGGACGGATACCCTTAGGCTTTGTTTAGTTCAAATTTAAAAAAAAAAAAGGAAAAAGAAAACGAAGGAAAGAAAAAGAGAGGAAATAAGTCTCCTAACACTACCAGGGTGAAACAGGCCCACGTCTTCTTTATTTGCAGGAAAAAAGTATGCCATGCTGCCATTGTTGCTTCCTCAACTTTGATCCAACCCAAACGGCACCTTAGGGTATCTGAGGAGGAATCAAAGGCATAGGTGTAGCCTTTCAGTGGGTGATTGAAAAAGAGGGGGAAAAGTTTGGCATGATTGTGAAGTTTAGTGGATGTGTATGGCTTATTTTTGGATCCATTAGGTTCTGATACTAATTAGATAGGCAAAATAATGCATGTCACTGATATGAAAGCAGTCGAAAAAGTGTTTACAAGGGAGGACATTTGTTTGGGACCCAGCTTTTTGATCTGAGAACAACGAAAACCGTTCAAGTCTAAGTACAAGAAGAAACTAAAGTGACCTAAGAGAATATTACGAACCAGACTATCCCTATATCTCCTACAAACAATACGATGACAGCCACCGCAAACGTTGATCTTCAACTTGACAGCAAGCTTTTGGAATCTTAATCTTTCAGAAAGCAACAGTTTGCTGCAATTCTTCTGAACCATGGGATATGTCGTCAGAACTTCAAAAGAAATCCTGATCACCTTTATTGTTTGACAATCTTTCAAATAAAAGGATATAGCACAACAATTTGTTTATTGACACGTATATATACCTATTTATAAATCATCTATCAGTAATCATCAGTCTACAGATCCATTTAAGAATAGGGGAATTTTCTTTTTCAAGACCAAGTGATCAGATCAAACCAGAAGGTCTTTAGAAATTGAGCTAGAAAAGTTTTAAAATCGGCAAAAAGACTTGCAAAATATAATTAGAAACATCTCTTGAGGATTTCTTTTTCAGGAGTGCAAGTTGCAAAACGGGAAAGATCTTTAAACATCAAGTAAGAAAGTAAGCAAAGATTAGTCAGAAGACTTGCAAAATAAACAATATTTCTTGCAGATTCTTAAGATACTATATACTTTCTTTCGTCCCAGCCAAATAATGAATTTACATATAAGAAAATTTGTTAAATTAGTATATGTATATTGATTAAAGTACCCCATTTTAATCATTTGCATTGAAAACTAGGAAAACCTCCTTGATATGTGCAACCGATAAGAAGAGCTTAGGGAAAACCTTATAAATTTGAGAGGTAGAGTTGATTAAGATATTAACTCTTACATCTGAGATTAGAAGGAATACAAAATATATCTGCGCGCATTTGGTCCTAAGATTTTTTC